TTCCCCATAAAACCTGTTGCTTATTACTTGTGAGCACATACTATGACCTTCTAATTCAATATGGACATCTTGGATATCTGCAGGATATTTATTTTTGGTATGTAGCACACAGAACTATGTGACATCACAGCAATGTGAATACAAGCCAAGGATAATAAAAATAAATACATCCATGTAGTACATTTCCTCTATAGAGACATACATGGCATGGAATACACCCACACAGAGATCTAATTCTCTATCTAGTCGAAAGGATGCTGTCAACCGGATTAAATTTATAATCAATAAAAATAGCTTAACACACAAATATGGCCATGTGTTAGCTGACAAAACTTATTTTTCCTTATCCTCAAAGATTTATATAGAATTGCTTGTAGATATTGGGATCAAATAACAACTTGTCATGTTGGGAACCTTTAACCCTAATTTAGTTTGGATTTATTTAAATTTAATTATGGCCCGAAATAGTGTTTTGCTTAAACAGGATTAAAGTAGAAAACACTATTTCAAGCAGAATAGTATTTTGTTGTTGTATATAAGAACATAGTTCCTTATTCGGTTCGAAGCAACCAAATGTTGAAGCGTTAGCAAACAGACAACTGGGACAAATGTTTCTCTCCGTGGGAGAAGTAAATGTCCCTACAGGCATACAAGCCGTAATGCCAGAAAATAAATGAAAATATGATGGAATATTTTTAATATTTACAAGGTGCCACAAAAGTAATCCTCCTATCAGAAAATTTTATAAATTTTACGATTGGCCCCTAATGTCTTAATTACTGACAAAAAAAAAAAAAAACATCGGAATGTCTGTCAAGTATATACATATGCATGTACAAGGTAAGGGGCGCAAAATGATAGGAGGGTTACTTTTGCTCCACCTTGTAGATAAATTGTCGTTTATTTGGATTTTGTGAGAGTCGTCATCCCGACTTATTTTTGTTATGAGGTTAGCACCATACCTAGCGAAATAGCGCCAATATGCAAACAAAGTCGCAAAGCACCGAGGTGGCTGGAAGCACCGATGCTTTCAGGCAATACGAGCTTATAGAGTACCCAGAGAGACCTGTAGAGAAATGAGTTGGAAAAGCTGCCTACGATCCGAGCTGTGTGAGCGTAGAACCCAAGGAGAATTGTAGGGAAAATCTTTAGACAAAGAAGGCTTTCAGCGACAAGTAAACGTTGTCTCCAAGGGGAATTGTAGGTAACCTTTTAGCTCAAGAACACGTATCTCTACGGTCCGTACTAAGCGAACTTAGGATCCTTTGGAAATATGCAATTCTAACTTAAACACTTGTTAAACAATAAAAAAAATCAATTTGAAAAAAAATCTTGAAAATGAAACACAGAATAATGTCCTGGTAGACTATTGGAGGTCTTGAGTCTCCAAGATAAATTTCAAAACAAGTAAGCAAAGGCTATGGTCGTGCAGGGCCGACCATGTGATACACTACAACACTACAGTCCAAATCCATTTTTAAAGATTTCGCTTTTGAAATTATGTGACGAAGCACTGCCCAGATATTAGCATTTTGACAAGGGACACCAATATTTACGCACTCCGTCGTATTTTGCGATCATCTCCAAAAGCAAGAGGCTCCTCTGTATCTCTAAATTTAGACTCTTCTATACGATCTTCTTGTCTACGATATTTGGCTATATTCGTCAAAGAAATCAGCAAAAAAAGGCAGAAGTTCGCATTTTGTGTATTTCGGATATCGCCTGTAAGTATTGTTCATATTTTTCAGACAAAAGTAGTGGTCTATTCTACACGCTGTCCTTAACTCTCTGTATGACCTTTATAACGGCTGCAAAATCAGGAACATTTTTAGTTGTTGGTCCATTTCAACCCCTAAATATATTGCGGATATCTTTGAAAACAATAGGCCTAGCCCTCCTGAGCCTAACCCTACCCTTTTCGTGAGGATCGGACGATAATTGCAATCTGTATATAATATCCCAAACCTGTGTTGTAAGGTGGAAAAATATTACAAAATGTACACCTTAATATTATAAGTCAAATTGAAAAAATCTCATGCGATAAAAAATATGGAAAAATAAAAAAAATTTCACAAAATACTAAAAAATCTATATTAGGATCATTTTGGACTTATTTTTAAGCGATTTTTTTCAGATTTTATACTTTTATGTCGAGCGGGCATTCTGAATTGACAAAATTTGTGAAAATCGGTCCAGCCATACTTCAGATATAAGCATTCCATCTAACATTCCTTTGCTTTGTATATACACATTGTATATATTTCGCTATACATATCCGATATATTTACTACCGGCATCTACGTAACGGTCAGAATTGACCTGTTCGTCTATTTATGATTTCGCCGGGACTAAAGATATTCGCGGTATAATGGAAATTTGACTTTTTTTATCACAAATATTATAGTCCTTTTCACCCACTAAATATTACCCGATGACCATCAAAATCGGAAGGCTTCTGGCCAGCCCGAAGATTTAGCCCCATGCTAATTTCCGCGTCAATTGGTCCATAATTGCGACCTGTAGAGCAACTGCAAATTCAGTATTTTTTCAGTTTTTGGTCCATTTCGACCCCTAAATATTGTGCGATCATCTCCAAAAGAAATAGGGTTCTATTCTGACCTTATCCCCACCTACATTCTAAATTTCGTGAAGATCGGGCCATAATTGCGACCTGTAGAGTGATTACAAATTAACATGGACAGACGGACAGACGGGCGGACGGACATACATAGCTAGATCGACTCAGCTCGGCGAGATAGGAAGATCCATATATACTTTCCTATGTTGGAAATCAATATTTCGAGGTGTTACATAATTTTTGGCCCAATCAAACTTATAATACCCCCAACACAAAGTGTTGTAGGGTATAAGGAGTAATAAGTGTACTATGGTAAAGGATGTCAGGGGGTTTTCATATTTTCTGCAGTTGATCAACAAATCCATTACGTGCATGTCCATCTATCCGAAATTCTCACCTATCTATGTAGTGACAGTAGATTATAAAAGTAAAGCAAAACAAGAAAAACTTAGGTTATGGTCGAACTTTTGATACCCTCCACACCTCCAAGTCAAAACGAGGACCTAAATATATAAATATTTTTTTGTTTTGTGGGCACTTCTGCACCCATTGGAAACTTCAAATACAAAATTTCAAACAATTTCGTAGAAAAAAATTGGGGTAATTCATAAAAATACCGAATATAGGTAAGAGGCGGAGTACAGGTTGTAAGAAAAAGTTGGCCGGTGCAGCCCATCTTCGAACTACATCTAAGTTAAGAGTTCAGATTTCACCCTTTTATTTTAATTCCTTTGGCAGATAGCGTGATTACAAAAGGCGGGCAGACATCGCTAAATCGGATCAGAATTTTACGCTGATCATGAATATTTATAAAGTATACATGATTACTTCGATGAGTTACAGACGGAATGACAAACATAATATTCCCTCCATATTATGGTGGAGGGTATAGACAAGAAGTCACTTCTATGGTCGTCTTGAATGTTTACATCGCGAAGTAAGCAAAATAATAGGGCAAGTCACAAGCTCTTCCACATTTTTTTAAATTTTCGGATTAAGATTCCTTGGAATCTGTGCAAATATTTGAAATCGGGGCTATAAGAAAAAGTGGATGGTCCTGACTTTTTTAAGCCATAATTCATTCAATAATCCAAATCACTCTTTAAATGTTTAAGGCTCTATTTTAAATGATAATCTATATTCAATCTCCAAATATTGGGGTCCATTTGCATATAGTCAAAGCTTAAAAATGTTTGGCGTATTTTTAAGATAAAGTCCAAATATTGACATGTGAGTCTTTTCTAATTTCCGTCTATTAAATTTGGAAAATTCTGTGTCATTTCCGATCAGTGTAAAGCAGATCTATCACTTTCATGTGAGATAGCAATCGTTCAGACTACTGAGACTTTCTTAAATCCAGATCCAGAATCAATGCTAATTGGGTACTATACAAAATAGGAGACCGAAACAAAATTTGATAAACCTTGTTAATGTTCACGTGAGATTAAAGAAACGCCATTTCTACTAGTGATGTTGAAATACACATTCCTTGTATTTTCCAGACAATACTCCTACCTCTCCTCCTCTACCCCACAAGAAACTTTCTGCATCCCAGTCTTAAACTTTTTGAATTAAACTTAACCTTGTATGAAAAACGCGTTCCAGCTCCCTAATAGCACTTGTTTAATACTTGACATTCAGTAAAGAGCAAAACTTATTTACAATCATTCATATGAAATGACATTTCTGTATTGTCTAGTGATTACCCAACATACCAAAATGGCTTGAGAATAATATTAAATAAAGCTTATGAACATAAGCCTTAAGCTTGAGAAAATCTTGAGAAAACATTGAAAAATGTTTGTGTAACAAGTATAGAATAATCGAAACGGAACCCTTATTTATAAGCTTATACTTGTAATTGTAGAATAAGCTTACGAAAATAATATTATATTAAGCTTATTTTTGCAATAGTATAAAATATTATTTTTTTAATTTTAAATCATTTTTCACATTTTTTTTTTCTTGATGGACATCCCAGTAGTCACTGCCTCATGTGGCCTTGATACCCTGACGCTTTCTTCTCCCTTATTTGAGCTTCTGCATATCTTCCACTAAGACTACACATCCATTGAATTCCTGAAACTTTTTTGATGCTTCCAATCTGAAATGGGATTGGAATAATTTATGTGAAAGATTCCCGGATTTATTATTCATCCATACCTTAAGAGTTCGGTCCAGAAATGGGTCCTAAATTCGCGTGATTTTGTTTTTTACCAAAGAAAATATTTTCTTGCCGAAAATTTTCACAAAAAATCAAAACTAATTTGTCAACAAAGGACAGATTTGAGAAAAGTTTGTGGAACATAAGTTTTTCTCAAGCATTGTTGAAAAATTCTATTTTTTATAATATTGTTCTCAAGCTGTATTGTATTTTTGGTATGTTGGGTAGGTTATCCTAATCTATATCTATTTACATATTTTCTAATTCATTTTATTTATATATATTTAAATTTCAACTTACCTTTCTCTAAACTGACGTTACAGAATTTCAATGCATCGTCGAGAAAATTTAAATGCATATAACTTGTTGCTGTCTCTAGAATTTTTCTCGCTTGCAAATCAGGTCCCCACCATTTCTCAACCAAACGTCTCACCAACACGTCGGGCATAAATTTCATATTATCATTGGAGCTGGAACTGCCACGAGAGCCAGTACTCAGCGTAGACGAAGACGTAGCAGCCATTGTCGTTGTAGCCGTATCGGTAGTGCATGCAATAGTAGTGGTCGTTACCGTTGTCGGAGATCCGGCCAATGTTGGCGTCAATGGCGGCGATGTGACAAGGCGTAAACGTGACATTTCATCATTGGCCATGGGACCCAATGCATTGTCAATGCTATTGGTTACAACGCTTGTTGGACTAAAGGAGAAAAGTGATTGCGACTGGGAGTTTGAGAAATTTGGCATACTCGCTGTTAAACCGCTCATTGTTCGACTACTGCTGCTGCTGCTGCTGCTAGTCGTAGTACTTGTTGCTGTCGACAGAGTGGTCAAGTTCAATGTTTCCGTTATTGGTTCTTCCTTGTGCAGACGCGGAAATCGAATATGGCAAATGTTACACATGGTAATGGTATCACAACATTGACGACAAAATGTGTGACCACAGTTCGCGGTAACCGGACAACGTAAGATATCGCGACACAGCGGACACAACAGCGGATCACAATCGTCCAGAAGTACGGGACTTTTGTTGCGTGCTAGCTCTCGCGAAGGATTGTGCAAATCTAAATTCTCCGTTGTAGCTAATGTTGGATTATCCGTTATTAAATTGGAGTGTCCTTGATTGGCATTAAATGCACCTGCTGCAAGTTGCCACGATGTAGCCAGACTTGAGGGGCCAGAGTGGTTCGTGGTTGTGGTAGTGGAAAGATTGGTCAGTTGTGGTATATCGTCACGGGGCTTTGTAGTCAACGACACAGTTTTGTCAGAGTTGTCACTGGACTTTTTGGAACTGCTGCTTAGCATTCGTATGTATTCCAGCAGAGCTGTAGCCAAAACATTCAGTTTTTCCAGGGGTATAAATCCTTTGGGTTGTTCACTGGCTATGAGGGCATAAATGTCGAATGCCTCCTGCAGCCGGCCATGACGGGCTAAGGACTCACCCACCAGATAGGAAAAGTGTAGTTTGTCAGCCGTTTGTCCTGTCATCAGGGACTGTGAAAGAGTTTTCACATTATCATCAATTGCCGAGTTGGCACCCAAAGAATGTCGGGGTCGTTTCGCATCCCTTGTTGTCGGCTGTCTACTCGTCAACGTTGGAGAATTCGACTGCACTTTTGCTGATTTCAAGGCTCTTTTGCTGGCCGAGGCTCCTCTGGCATAGAAACCGTGTTGCAGTGGCATTGTCTTGTTGTTGGCCTTATTGGATGTAAACGATTTTCCCCGTAGCAATGATTGTGCCTGCACGTTGTCACGTAAACAGTTTGTGGACAACGATATAGCTGTTGCTGGTGCTGCTGCTTCTGCTCCAACGCCTGTGCTGTTGAGATTGTTCTGAGGGGGTGTGGCAACAGCGTGCGATTTGACTGTCGCCGCCACAGCAGCTATACAATCCGAATCTAAATAGATGTCTGCAGTTTCGTCACCAGCTGTAATTGGTTTGAAATACAACGACGAATGATTCAGAACTTGTCATCAATTTGGAATTCTGAGAAATTCTCTTTGATGATGGCGTCCGATGTGATGTCTTTGACGTAACGCTTAAAACTGGGTAGTAGTTTATCTGTTTGAATATCTTGATTTTGATTTACTGGCGATGCAGTGTTTGAAATAACAACGGCTGGACCGTTTAATGGATGTTTTCTTTTCTTTTTAATTTGAAATTGCTCAGTGGCACTTTTAGACATTATAGAATATCGGCAATTATTTCCGAATAATTTTTTCTTTAATTTTTCTTATTTTGCAAGAAAATTTAATTACGAATATTTTTTTTAATTTTTTGCACTTTTGAAAATTCAAACGTAACTTTGATTGCTTATTTCACAATAGACACTTCACTTTTCAATAAAATGTAGAATTATTTTTTGCATATTTCTTTAATTTTTAAATCATATTTCACTTTTTGATATTTTTATTTATTTTGTATTTTTTTTTTTAATTTTTCATGTTAATTTTTCTTCCGATATTTTATTAAAAAATATATTTTCTTTCAACGTTTGATGTAACCGTTCCCTTTCGCATACGTAACACGACTGCGTTGAGTCAAAGTCGTCTCCGTTCCGTTTAGCTGCTGTTGCTGCTCGCTGCCGTTGTGCTGTGGTTGGTGTTGGTGCTCTGTTATTTGTTTATTGTGTGTGTTTTTTGGTAATGATTATCTGAAAACAAAGAAAAAAGTTTGGAAAATGTTAAATGAAAAAACAATAACAATCACATAGGCCTTGCCAAGCTCACAAATACATTCCCTACTCTAATGATATAGGCTTTACGTAACATTCCCTCAAATACGAAGCCGTAACACCTAAAAAAGAGCATTTCGGTGTTATAAAATTTAAATATAATAACAACAAGCACTCTGGCCAGAGAGAGAGAGGAGAGAATGGTAATCGCTCATCGTTGATAACACTGCAAAAGAGACCAAATGTTCTGTTCATGTGGCACCCATAACGTAGCGTATCTCTTAAAATCGTTTCAGCATAACAAACCCCAATGTGCCGCCCACAAATGTGACCCCAACAACTAGGCCAACAAATACTAATCAGAGGGGAAGAGCTCTCTCTTAATGATGCATGGAGCATGTATTTTAGGTTAGAAGAGAGTCAACGTCACACTAATGCTCTTTGTTGTGAGTCTAGCAGTGTTCAATAGAGAACAAACAAACAAAAATACGACAATGACTCTTTACTGTTAAATTTTCATTTCAAGTATTATGATTTGTTAACAACTAAATAAATATTTAATTTAAGTTTGTTCTCATCCAGCTCTCTTTCATTCATTGTATTTTCCGACTTGGCCGAGAGAGAGAGAGACACTATGGTTGGGGGGGGGGGGGTTTCCTTGGATGGTGTTGATGTTATTGTTTGTTTTTATCTCTGACACATTTTCGACTTGTCTTTTTCTTTTTTTGATTTGTTTAGTTTATCATCTCCCAAACACCGCTCTTGTTTGTGTTGACACCATCGCACCGACAGTTTTCCTCAGCCAGTTAGTTGTTGGTTGGTGGTAGGCAGTGTCGCGCACATTGACAACTAAATGATAATAAAAGTGCGTTTTGACGTTTGACTTGTGTTGTGGCTGTTATTTAACACCTATTATCTGAAATCTCATTCATTGTTCAGCGCGGGTAGGAAGGCAATTAAATGTCAGCCAGATGGAAGAAATTAAAATCATTATTTATATAATTTCAAGTGAATAGTTCCGTTTTGGTTTTGCAGTTGTTTGTATTGTGGGTATGTCAAAATTTGGGACGTTTTGCATCCTGTATGACGTGATGGAGAATAAAATCAGTAGGGAAAGGTAGAAAGTCGGGCAGGGAGGATTTTATGGTACCCTACACCGCTATGCAGTTCCAACCGGAACAAATATATGTTTATATTGAGAATCAAATCATACCAAATATGATCGGCGCATAGAGCTATTGAATCTTGAAATCGGATGGAACTAATTCATGGGATGGAACTTAACCACAATCGATTGTAGTACATGTTTTTTTTCTACTGAAAGTGATCGTTTTTTATACCCTCCAACATACATAGTACGACATTCCGTTTGTACCTCATCGAAATAAAAATGTTAGACCTCACACAGTATATAGATTCTGGATCAGCGTAAAATTCTAAGTCGACTTAGCCCTGTTCGTCTGTTGTAATCACGCTAGAGTCAAAACGTATTAAGATATTAAGCCAAAATTTTGCACAGATATGTCTCTTGTCTGCAGGCAGGTCAAGCTCGAAGATGGGTTATATCGGTCCGAGATATCGTATAGCCGCCCATATATAACGGCACCCCCGATATTCAGTATTTTTATGATTTTATACACATTTTTTCAATGGAATTGTCTGAATTTCTACACAAGGAGTTCTTTGAGTACCTTACCCCTTTGGAAGATAATTATCGTAGATCTATATCAACGATATCGTATATCTTCCATATAACGGTACCTCCCGATATTCGGTAATTTCATGATTTAAGTCATATTTTTCTGAAAATCCGCACAAATAGTTCCTTTTGAGTATTTTGGACCTAGAAGAGAATTGTCTGTATAGGTCCACGATATCGAATATCCCCCATTTAACGGTACCTCTCGATATTCGGTATTTTCATGATTTTAGTCAAATTTTTGAATGGAATTTTCTCAAAATCTAGACAAGGAGTTCCATCTAAGTACTTTATCCCCTGGAAGAGAATTGTTTATATAGGTCCATGATATCATATAGCCCTAATTTAACGTTACCTCCCAATATTCGGGTTTTTTAAGGTGATAGCCAAATTTTGTCAATGGAATTGTTTGAAAATCCACACAAGGAATTGCTTCTGAGTACTTTACCCCTTGGACGATAATTTTCTTTATAGGTCTCCAGTATCTCCAATACAACGGTACCTCCCGATATTAAGTATTTTGATGATTTTAGCCACATTTTTCAATGGAATTGTCTGAGAATGCACAACAGGAGTTGCTTCTGAGTACTTCACCCCCTGAAAAAGAATTTTCTATATAGATCCATGATATCTCATAGCCCCCATATAACGGTACCTCCCTGTATTTTAATGGTTTTAGCGAATCTTTTGAGTGGAACTATTTCAAATTTCGCATTTGAAATCGGCCGACCGAACTTATCTGCTTTTTTATGTGTTTCTTGTTTGACTGGACCTTTCTTGCCCATCAATTAAACCTTGTCTAAGTTTTGTAAAAATATTGCAATATACCAAGCTCGATCCATATCAAATACTCCCTTTTGAAAGTTATCATGCACAACAGTCGGATAGGCATACGGACATGACTACATCGATTCCAAATGTCCTAAAACGGATTCCGTTCAAAAAGACGTAGGGTATTTTTAAATTAGTATTATTTTGGTATAATAAATATATTTGGCTACAATAAATGTACATATGAATTATGAAAGCCTATGCTAAGATCCTAACATGGCAATAATGCAACATTTGTAATTTTGTTTTATTATTATTATTATTTATTTATTTATTTATTTTTTTTTTTTGTATTTTGGGATGACTTTCCTAAGGTAGAAATTTCTTCTATGAGTTCTTATGTTCTCGCAGAAAATCAGACATCAGTGGTCAATTGTTGTCAAAACTTTTAAAACACATAAAAAATATGTTAACTTTGATCTGGTCGAACCTATGACAACCTCCGATTTCGATAAAATTTGGCATACTTATTTTCAGGCCTAATTTGTTATATATGCGCACAATTTCATACTATTCGGGCTAATATTACACGTTTGGTGCACAATAAAAGGCAAATCGGACGAAGTTATATACGGGAGCTATATCCAAATCTGAACCGATCTCGATGAAATTTACCAAATGTATTTCTGAGCTGTATTTCATATATTTCCCCAAATATCGTTGTTACAGAGTGCATATTACGGCTGAGAAGGACAAAAATAACAAATGGGATGAACAATATATATGGGAGATATAGCTATATCTGAACTGATTTCGATCAAATTTGGCACACTTATTTTCAGGCCTAATTTGGTTATATGTGCACAATTGCATACTATTCGGGCTGATATATATATGGGAGCCATATCTAAATTTTTACCGATTATATCCAATTTCAATAGGGTTTGTCCTTGGGCCAAACCAATGATATGTGCAAAATTTCATCTTAATCGGATAATAAATGCGACCTGCATTTTGTTCACAAGATTACATGGACAGACGGACTGACATGCATAAATCAACTCAGAAAGTAATTCTATGGAGATCCTCAAAAGTAATTATGGGTCTATCTCGCTTCCTTCTCCATGTTACAAACAAATGCACAAAGACATAATACCCTGACCACCTTGTGGTTGTAGGGTATAAAAATAACTTCATGCATGACTCCCTAATGCCATAACTTGGACGTTGACTCTTCAGAATATTCAGGCTTTGGCGTAGTCCTCACATGACAATATCGCCTAATTTTCGCCCTGCAAAAATCTACAAGTTTTGCAATTGTTTAGGCCCCATTTATTGTTGTGACCAGCGAACCCTTACTTCAGTAACCTCTAAATAGCCCGGCGGCCACATAATACTCACTTAGTAAGTAATTAATGTTTATTATTCTTCAAATCAACACAGTTTTTGATTTTTTTTATTCGAAATAATAGACCTAACGAACAATATATATGGGAGATATAGCTATATCTGAACCGATTTCGATCAAATTTGGCATACTTATTTTCAGGCCTAATTTGGTTATATGTGCACAATTCCATACTATTCGGGCTGATATTACACGTTTGGTGCACAATAAAAGGCAAATCGGACGAAAATATATATGGGAGCTATATCTAAATTTTTACCGATTATCTCCAATTTCAATAGGGTTTGTCCTTGGGCCAAACCAATGATATGTGCAAAATTTCATCTTAATCGGATAATAAATGCGACCTGCATTTTGTTCACAAGATTACATGGACAGACGGACTGACATGCATAAATCAACTCAGAAAGTAATTCTATGGAGATCCTCAAAAGTAATTATGGGTCTATCTCGCTTCCTTCTCCATGTTACAAACAAATGCACAAAGACATAATACCCTGACCACCTTGTGGTTGTAGGGTATAAAAATAACTTCATGCATGACTCCCTAATGCCATAACTTGGACGTTGACTCTTCAGAATATTCAGGCTTTGGCGTAGTCCTCACATGACAATATCGCCTAATTTTCGCCCTGCAAAAATCTACAAGTTTTGCAATTGTTTAGGCCCCATTTATTGTTGTGACCAGCGAACCCTTACTTCAGTAACCTCTAAATAGCCCGGCGGCCACATAATACTCACTTAGTAAGTAATTAATGTTTATTATTCTTCAAATCAACACAGTTTTTGATTTTTTTTATTCGAAATAATAGACCTAACGACAACTTTACAATCAGTTATTAGGTTTTCAGAAACTAGTGTTGTTTTATAGAATCCCTGAAATGACTGAATATGAACTTTGGCGACTCTGCAATCTGCCGGATCTCTTTTTGTGGGACCCAATTTTGGTTACGAAAATTGAAAGATTTTGTTTCTGGACTTTCAGAAAATAAATCTAGTCCCATTATCCACTATCATTTCGATCCATTTATATAACAAAGGGCTCCAGAAGCTATTTGTGCTATGGTTCCATCAATCGAGGAGTTTTTATATGCCACTTAT